ATGTCTATGTTTATAATTATTGTCTGATACCACTCTCATCAGATAGATTTTATCAACAAGTTGACACCAATGACTTTATTTTGGAGGTTCATTTATTTTTATTCATTGTTGATTGCAATGAATATTTTAGTTGGTAAAGTGGATTATAACAGTAACCGAATGCCTGTCTATTCGACCGTTTTCTCGAAGGCTTTATTCTGACATCATTGTGGCAATATGTGAATCTTTATGTCTAGTTGGAATTTGATTAAACACTCAACTATAAAGCTTATACGTTTCCGGCATGGTTATTCAGATCTTCCCTCAGCAGTAAAATTCTGTATTATTTGTGCAAAGCCTTAGGGCATAGCAATCTCTCTGAGGTCTTTTTGAAATTAACCTTTTGAACTTTAATATGATATCTTGCAAAAGATATGTATACCACATATATATTATATGAATATATCGTAATCATTAATTCGATTTGTTTGAAAAAAAGGCAGTACTTTAAATTATCTTCATGTTCTCCGTAAGTACATGAAAAGCACTCGTTTATGTCCTCTTCCCTTCTCCTACATTGAATAATTCATTGTTTTCTATTTTCTTCATGACATGATGTGTATATCCGTATATATAACTCTGTATTTTGCCTTATTAATTTAAACTTTCCTTTTCTCATGAATGGTCGGAAGTACTCTCTAGCATTTTGATGAGTTTCATATGACACTGTTGGTAGAGAAGTTTCAGCCGCTTTTAGTTTGTCATAGGTTCTACATATCAGTGGATGAAGAGTTATTCCATTGTTTTTCTTCTCTCCCTTTTTTCTATTACAAAACGAAACTTTGCAGGAAATATCCATTAGAGAGGAGATAAATGGTTTCATCCACATCTGTTGCTTTCATTTACTAAATCAGATTGTATAAGAAGCAGTGAACCTCGTGTGCAAATGAATAAGTTGCAAATTTTAATTTTCTTTTAACTTACGTTTTACACAGTTTTCTTAGTGAAAGATTAAAGGTGGTTGCTATAGGACAAGTCTGTTGTTACAGTTCTCGGATATCTTTAAAAACACTTGAGTTTGTTTTGTTTATGAGTTATTTTATTCTATTGATTTTTGTTTTTTACTGGGAGGATATCTTTAAATTTTTAAAGAATCGCTGTGAGACCTCATAATGATATTTTCGTTTTGATATTCAGTGAATTTTTCTTTTCTTCATGAACTGGCAGATTTGTTACGGACAATTCATAGTTCTGAGGACACGAGTGTTTATGAAAAACTGGTGTCGGCAATTTTTGATGAGGAGATGTTAAGCACAAAGGAAAATCATGAGAATGTTGGAAGGCTAAAGTTGGTTGAAGATGATACTTCATCAATTATTTTCACAGATGTGGATACTGCAAACCGGGATTTGGTTATTGATATTGCGAAGGAAGTTTATAGAAAGCACTGTGCAAAACATTTGGAGATAGTTCCAGTGAGGATATTAGGTGATGGCCAGCAGTTCAATAGGTATAACTATTGTATTGAGCAGTTATAAATATCTTCCCCTCTCTACCTTTCCGTGTGTTATTTCATCTTCAAAATACGACTGATTGTACTGTTCTTTTCTTGAATATGTCCCGAAACATTAAGGAATGCTGTCAAAATGTTAACACAAGGAGGAGACATGGTTGAATTTTGTCATGAATTACGCTTTCCGTTTGCAAGATGGATCATGTCAAACCAGGTATGTTTTCTTCTTTATAATTAGTCAACTATCCAGAGTGCAATCTTTTGAATTACGGTGTCCTACAACTTTAATATGTTCTTTATATTCATCGCTGACAGAAGCAAGCCTGGTCATACATATTTGTGTCCTTTTGAAAGGTTTCTTCTCTTATTCTTCTTTTACCTATTTTCGTGTTGGTTTTCTGACATGAGCAATGGATCCACAATTGGTCCAGATGCTCACGAACCCTAGTGGAACAAAAGAACATTAAAAATGGATTCAGAGTGAGAACAAAGCCCAGTTACTTGAGAAATTATGTGATGCAAAGAGCATATATATCTATTAGTGGTGTGTGGTGCAGTATTGCTGTTTTACTTAACCGTATTGTACCTTTTATTTGAAGGAATGAATGATTGTCCCTGCTCTCAAGCCCTTTTATTTCATCTGCATTTATTTTTCCTTCTAATTTTGTTAAGAGTAAACCACAACATGTTCCCAGTAGGTTTTAGCACAATTTCTACAACTTGTTTCACATTGCAATCTAGCATTTCCATACTAGTCCGGGGTATTTAGATGGGGTAATTAGATGTCTGTCACATTAGTGTAAATTATTTTAAGGGTAATCATCTTGTGTTATTTATCTTCGTTTATTCTCCTACTATTATCTTTCCTCTACACCACTTAAAGTATAGCACTATATTCGTATGCTTTGATATCATTTTATCCTTCTTTATATCTTGCTGAATGGTAAAAGTTGATAATTCATCTGTTTCATTTTAACAGTTTCTCATATTCACACAGTTTTGTAAAATGTATTTGATTTACACGGTAAAATCCAGGAAATGCCCAATGTTCTTATTATCCTTTTATTTCAACTAATTTCTACTTTTATTTCTTTGTATAGTGCTAAAAATTGCTGCATTGATTAGGGGTATAAATAGGAAAAATGAATCAAAAACCTTGAACTAGTCTAGTAAAACATTCTATAATTTATAATTTTGGGACAAACAGAAGTGGATGTATGGGAGTATAAGAATGGGACAGAGGGAGTAGCTTAGTATGGATTATATATTTTATTAATTTATTTATTTTATTTTTTTAAATATTAAATCATCATTGGATACTATCTTTTGGTTGTTAGATGCATGTAGCCATGGTAACTTTGGAATACATCATGACATTTGGTACTATTGAATTATGATAGGAATAGAGAATGTGACAATACTCTTCAGTTATTCTTCTTCTATTTTCAACATTAGTATGTTTAAGATTTCTTTTCTCATTGAAAACTGTTGAAATGGAAAAAAATCAACTTGTTGGCTTGTTGAAACCTGTGCTGATGTCGAGGAGTCTTCTGTGACTAAAGTGACTAAAGAAGTTTAGCTTGGCTGATCACATGTTCTGAACTAAATGGTTCTTTTGATGCCATCTGTTCTAAAATTCGCTAGGCGCCTGCCTAGGCAGCACTTAGGCGCCACGATTTTTGCATGGGCGGTCATTCTAGGCGCTGGGACGACTATGCGGTGTCTAAACGGACTAGGCGGTGCCAAAGTTACTCAAGCCTAGGCCGGCTAGGTGGTCTAGACGCCTCCTAAGCGCCTGTATCTATTTTATTTTTTTTTTCAATTTAATTTTCAGAACAATAAAAATAATTTTAATTTTTATGCATGAAATTTACAATAATTGTATAACAGAAAATATTAATACTCATATTCTAACTAATACAATAATTATGAATGCATTAGATTTTGCACATATTTTTTATTTGGCCATATTAAATAATATATTTTATATAATGTATCTTATAAATTATGCATGATGACAAATTTAAATAATTTATTAATCTTTTCTCGTCTCCACCTAGGCGCCGCCTGACGAGCGCCTAGCGACTTTTAGAACATTGTAAATGCCTAATGCTTGTAAATGTTTGATCTCCACATTGTTGTCACTGGGAATTCAGATTTTGCTAATGTTATTGGATATATTTGTGACTTTTTCGGGATTTAAAAATTTTCAAATTGTCTTGTGCAGAAATCATATTTTAGGCGCTACGAAATATCATATGTATACAGAAAAGCAATTGGCCATTCGCCTCCAAATCGGTATCTCCAGGTCCGTTTGTTATGGTACAGTTACGCCACTGGTGTTATTTTGGAAGAGAACCTAATTTGGATGTATTTACTTTACAGGGTGATTTTGATATCGTTGGAGGAGCAACTGCCTTAACTGAGGCTGAGGTCATAAAGGTGAAATACTTCTAAATACCTTATTTATTTATTTATTTATTTATTTTTACATATTATCTGATTTACGAACAGCTTGGATGCAGTTCCTTTTTTCTAAATGACCATTGCTAATCTATTAACAAAAGTTTACAAATTTACTATTGTATTATTGCAGGCAACTATGGACATCATCTCTCGTTTCTTTCATTCAGATTCATGTGATATTCATTTGAATCATGGGGACTTAATGGAAGCAATATGGTCTTGGACGGGTATCCAGCCAGAGACTAGACAGAAAGTGGCTGAGGTAGATCAAAAGTTGATCATGCATTTATGATGACAGTTGGGTTTCTTCTTCCTTACAATACGCATTTCTTGGCAGCTTCTCTCCCTTTTGTGTTCTTTGCGTCCTCAGTCTTCAGAACGAAAGTCAAAATGGGTCGTAATTAGGCGCCAACTACGGCAGGTATGCAGTAAACCCGGAAATTTGTTTTGGATCGTTCATGATTTGCAGCTATAGTTGCTGCTTCTGTTATTGAATCTTTTTGGATATTCTGTTTTAAGGTCTTAGACAATAAAATATAACTTTTTTAGAACTTTGGTTTTAAACAATACTGGGAGTTGTGTTTTTGTGTTTGCCTCACATTGTGAAGTTACTTGATGTTGTGTATAAATAAGGCACCCTCTCCATTCGAGATACTTTTGGGGATGAGTTCTATCCAAGGCCATTTATCTTGCTATTAGTGCACCCTAGTTCGTTTGTTTGGAGGTGTTTGGTTTGGACCTGACCTATTTGGAATGGCACCCTACATGTCGCTGGAGGGTGTTAAGAGTTGTATTTATGTGTGTTTCTCCCACCCCACTGAGTTACTTGGCTGTTGTGTATATATGTTGATTGTGCGCCCTCTTCTCTGAGCGAGGTTTGAGGATGAATCCTCACAGACCCATTTATATTAGCAATAAAGATGTTGCTAACTGCTAACTGTTAGAGAACCCACGCCATTCCTTTCCATTGCTTGTGCAGCTCCTAACAAATAAATGCTTAACAAAAATCATGAAGAATCTTGGGAAGAGTATACATGAGACTAATAGACTTATATTTCCCTTGATGTAAAGGGACATGTAAACTGTGGATCTGATAAGATTTACTGTTACTTGTTTTATTTAACAACCCGGTAGGATATTCATTTTTTTTTTTTCCTTTTTTATGTCTGCGTGTGTGTTAATTGTCAGAACCTAATTACTATCAAATTACATCTCTATTCTTTTTCATTATCATGACTTGAAGCATTTGGATATGGTTGACGACACTATGTTTGGGTATGTTTGTGTAGTAAAAACAACTAGGTTCAATGTATCTGGAAACAACTTGAAAATTTTAATTTGGAGAAAGATAAATGCCAATATTTGCCTATGGTTTGGTGTTCCTTCAGGCCTTCATCCTGTAATACTTGTGTAACTGTGCAACCCTAGGTTCGATTAACCATATCATGGGAATAGTTTCAGGGTGTTCATTTATGATCTGTAATTTGTTACAAACCTTAGGGTTTTGGACAATTGATACATTCACATATGAAAATGCCCATATATATAGACTTGGACCTTTAGTATATATGGGCTGGGCGCCTGGGCCTATAATAATTAACACCCCCCTTCAAACTCAAGCTGTAGGTGGAGGATCCGAAGCATTGAGTTTGAATAAGTGAAGCCGTTGTTGTTCTCTAGTTTGTGCTCTGGTGAAAAAGAATCTGCCACAGAAAGAACAATTGTTTTCTAATGATAATGAGACCGAGTAATGGAAGCATCGACACCAATGTGTTTTGTAAGATCATGCTTTTATTGGCAATTTGTATAGCTCCAGTATTATCACAAAGAAGAGGTGTAGGAGCATAACATGGAATACCAAAATCAGCTAACAACCATTGAAGCCATATATTTTTGAAGTGGTGGTGGCAAGTGCTCGAAGTTCTGCCTCTGTGTTAGAGCGCGATACAACAGCCTGCTTCTTGGACTTCCATGTAAGAGGAGAAGAAGAATAACCAGTGGCAGGAACAACGATCTGTTGGATTACTCGCCCAAGTAGAGTTCAAGGAAGCATGAAGCTGAAACAGACTGTCATGAGCATAAAACACACACTGAGATGATGTGCCCCTTAAATATCGTATCAAACGAAGTGAATGGCCATAATGTATCGAAGTTGGTGCACTCACAAACTGATTCAATATGTGAACAACATGACCAATGTCAGGCCTGGTCAAACTGCCCACAATATGCCGATGTCGAGAGGGATCCTCAAGAGGCGTACCATCAGTAGAACAAAGCTGCAATTGAAGATCCATAGGTGCATCACGCCAATGCCTAAGAAGTAGCTAAGGGGACCCAAATCTGACATTTGAAATTGCTGACCAAGTTATTTCTTGACATTGATTCAATGCCTAATTAGCTATGAGGACCCAAATCTGACATTTGAAATTGTTGACCAAGCTGTTTCTTCACTCACATATTTAATTAGAGGATCAATACAGGCACAATCATAGATATCTCTTGTAATAGCTAATGAATGTGAAACTCTGAATATTTTCTGTCATTTTTTGTTTCCAGGAGCTTGATCTTGCTGATGATGCTGTAAATAGATTACAGACTGTAGGACTACGGTTCTGTGGAACTGCTGACCAGGCACTTCCGAGACTGAGGGGTGCCCTGCCTGCAGGTACATTGTCCGTAATTTACTTTACCTTGTTCATATTTGTTTTTTCTTTTGATTTTAGGAATATAATAAATGGGAGTTAATGATAGATTGTTACTGCAGATAAGTCCACACGCAAAGCACTTGATGAATTGTCAGAGCTGTTTAACTATTTAAGAGTTTGGAAAATTGATAGACGGGTCTTTCTTGATGCTCTTTTGCCACCGTCTGAATCTTATCACCGCAACTTGTATTTTCAGGTATTATAACCAGTTTAACATTATGTGCTCAAGTGTCTGAAAGTGTGATGTCTGCTAAACATCTGGAATATATGACCATAATGCATAGCAACATTCTGGGAAATGGCAGAATTAGTAAAATTCATCATTATCTTATTTTTCTTCTTCCGTAAATTTTTTATTTTTTTATGCAGATATATTTCAAAAAGGAGAATACTCCTTTATCACTTATGGAAGGGACACTGCTTGCTGTTGGTGGTCGTTATGATAATTTGCTTCAGCAAATGGCGAATTCTGAATATGTATGTTATAGTGATGTTTGTCTTTCCTCATTCAAACTTCACTCTTGGACTTACATCCCGGAAAATATATTTGTTTTGTGACAGTTTGTATCTTTTTGTGGACAACGAGTCATATTTCATGTTTCGGTTTAATTTACAATTAATTTGTTTGCATCACCTTATAATTTCTGTTTGATGATATTGCAACATTTATATTGTGCTCTTTAACTTGCATATTAATTAAATCACCACATGGGACTATAGATATTCTAACATTTGTCACATTTCAAGAAGCAACCATTACAAGATTGCTGTGAGATCTAAGCTTGAAAAAAAAAAAAGAAAGAAGAAATATATCATATTTGACCATAGCTACTTTGAGGCATTTGCAGTTCCATTCTTCGTCTTGTATGAGAAGTTATCGACAAACTTCTAAACCGGATCCCTAAACTGGGTAATTTTTCCATTTAATGCATGTGGCAGTAACTAAGGTAATGCCTTTTTTACTGCAACAGAAAAAGAAAATAAAAGGATTGTCTCTATCGTTTTTCTCGAGGCGATGATGTTTCTGATCATGTATGATCAATTAGGTAGAGTATATCTCAATTTTGGATTCTAGGACATGCTTTTACTCATTGACATGTTCTATACAGGGATATGGTCATTTTGGGTCTTTCCCTTTTAATTTAGCGCAGCAGTTATCTTTACATGTTTCCCGCACTTACCATTGTGTTTGTAATGCACCTCTCTTCTCAGAAATCAAATCTACCTGGTGCTGTTGGGAGTAGCATTGCTCTGGAGACTATTTTTCTGCATTCTTCTGTTAATAGTAAATTCCATAGGTTGTTTCTACTTTTACTGAATTTCACAGTAAGTCTTAGTTATCATTTGATGCGTCTGCTCAATTATGGGTATTACCTTATTTCATGACAGATATGACACTGGCACCAATATTCTTGTCTGTTCAAGAGGAGGTGGGGGTTTGTTACTTGAGCGCATGGAACTTGTGGCCGAACTATGGGAGGAGAATATCAAGGTTATTTTATTAACTTATTATATGGCTTGACATCCGTCCAGGTTCTCACGTGATGTTTTTAGCACAATTTGAACTTAATGAAATTTATATATACAGGCCGAATTTGTTCCGTCGCGTGATCCAAGCCTCACAGAACAATATGAATACGCAAGCGAGTATGATATAAAATGTCTTGTTGTCATCACTGATGCTGGTGTATCCCAAAATGGTTTGGTCAAGGTTGGACCCTTAGCCTATTTGGTTCTGATGTTGGATTATTCTGCTGTACATAATTGACCTGAATAAGTGCTTGGAGGTTTTTGGTGAATCTGTTATTCGTTTAATTTTTCGGAAGAGATACAACTTCTTTACTCTTCAACACATGTTCATGAAATTAACAATAATATTGTCAGTAGATTGACAGAAACAGTGTTGGTTTTCAGAAACAATGAAATGAACAATGAGTTCATGCTCAAAAGTGCAAGAAAATCTTTTTGTGGCTTTTAAATCCAATGTTAAGTGATTGCCTGAGAGTGCCTCTAGACATGTACCATAGGTATTTTCAAGTGTGGTTGAACTTGTGTTCTTCAACTGCAAGTACCAGTAACTTGACAAACTAGACTCACACTGATTGCACCATATGTGGGGCCAAAACCTTTTCTTAAGTAGCAATTCCAACTCCTGCTAGGTTGAATAAGTTAAGACCCTGCAGCATATATTTGCTCATTTTCTTTTGTAATAATCGACACCTATGCGAACCACTTTTGGGTAGTTAATAATTGGACTAGTTTACAATTCTTCAGAGTTAAGGTGAAAAGGTTGGTATTCTGTTTCCACAATTAATTATTTTCATTGTTATTCAAAATCCAGCCACTTTCTAGCTTATGTTTGATGTTTTTCCAAAGGTAGTCCTCATAGTAGTACTTATTGTCCTTGAAACCAGTGTTACAAGGCAAAGTATGTTGCTAATCCTCTAGCTTATGACTTAGGTCCGGCATTTAGAGCTCAAGAAAGAGAAGGAGGTTGAGAGAGAAAACATCGTCAAATTTCTACTGGAGGCAATGGCTACTCAATTTAGAAACCCATCCATCTGGAGTTGAATCTGCATGAATTTCTCAAGGTCCGTTAAGTGTTGCCAGCCCTGTGTCCAATTTCTTTGTCTAGTCTAATTGTATTGTTTCTGTGTCTTATTTGTGACCTCGTCATATCGAGATGGTGAACTGAGCATTTGTTAAATAAGAACTAGCTCATCCTATACGAGTCATATTTTGGTCAAAACTGTTTATGCTTAATATGCAGTTTTGCTATGAAACCAACAGTTGGCTCCATAGTGGAACCAACCTTCTATTACAACAATTAAACCATACCATATTATCTGATTACTTAAATAATACTAATAATTTTATTAATATGGTATGGTTTAGTTGTTGTATATAGAAAGTTGGCTCTATTATGGAGCCAACTATTGGCTTCATTGCAAAACTGGCTCAATATGGCGAAGAAGCCTTTTTTTTTTGAAAAAAAATTAATGACTAATTCGGCACATTAACTGGCCCGTTTTCCTTTAATTTGTCGTTGCTATTGGGCTTAATCTGTCTAAAAGAATGTAACCCGATCATCTCTTGCAAGCATGTGCCAAATTCCCCTCTTGTTTCCATTTTTATATGTATAAATATTCCAGCACAGGCATTCATTAAAAGTGAATGATTTTCACAAACAGATGCAATCTTGATTCAATTCGATGGACCTCGCTCACATAGCAGTCAATCTTTTGAAACTTTATTCTGGAAAATATTGTTCTCCCAGTTTTTGTTGGATACTTGCATCTTGAGAATTCTTGTAAACTCAAACATAACTTACATTTCTTTTGACTCGAGATGTTTGGATGACTGATATGTTTTCTCTTGTAGAAGATGAAGGTTCCATCTCAGAAATTTTCGTTTATGAATCGGAAGTCTCCCCTGATATCCTAAAGAGGAAAAAAAAAAAAAAAACAGGCTTTGTAGTATTGCATGAGAACATTTTGTAGAGTGAAAATTTTGAGGTTAACACATTGTAGAGCGATACCGTTTTTGTTCGATTGTCGATTTATATATTTTTTGGCTTATGAAGTTTCATGTTAGTAAAGCAGTTTAGTGTACATATGTTTTTGACAGTTTTGTATGTGGGTGTCGAATTGTATTTTCGTTCTATTTTTGTCTTCAAACATGATAGATTTTATGTATAAACAAAGAAAGATTACAGCAGTTCACTGTTCACTCCACAACAAAGGGGACAATCAAGTAACTCTTGGGTTTTAAACTAACTACCAATTGAAGTTCCAAAACAGAACAACGAAGACAGAAAAATGGGCACATAGGCTTACCAAAAAAATACAAAGGCTTGTGTAGCCCCGCAAAACAAAAAATATTTATTTATTTATTTATTTTTTCGGAACGGTATATTTTTGTAATTTTTATATTTCTGTAATTTTTATATATTATTTAGTGTAAAATATATATTTATGATACAATAAAAAATATAATTCAATTAGCATAAATATAACGGTTTTTGTCAAAGGCTTGTGTGGCCACGCAAAACAAAAATATATTTTTTTATATTTTTGTAATTTTCAATATCATTTAATGTAAAATATATATTATATGATACAATAAAAAAAATAATTCAATTAACATAAAATATAACATTTTTTTGTCTTAGTTAACCTAAAATAAGAGCAAGAAATTATTTTATTATTATTAGGATATGGTGAATTAATGTAATAAATAATAATAATAATAATAATAATAATAATAATAATAATAATAATAATAATAATAATAATAATAATGGATTGTAACCGTTATTAGAGAAAAAATGCCACATATGTGCCATGTAGGTATAATTAATAGGTGCCACATAGGTATAATTTAGAGGTATTATTTAATGAATGAAAAATGCTACAAGTACATAATAAATATACATAAAGATATAATACTCACACAGAGTGTGGTTCATTTAATTTTTTATTTTTGGCGGGTCCCACTCAATGTGAGTATTATATATACTCTTATGTACAATATTATGCACCATAACATTACTCTGAATAAATTGCTGGCAATTATATAGACATAGATTTCTTAATTTCCAACAAATCAATAATATACAATAATCATATTAAATATTAATCATATATTTTTAATTTTAAATCTATATATAAAAAAATTAGAATAACCATTTACTAAAAATAATAGTAAAAAATTTTGGGAGCATTTAATGCACACATGTTTTGAAAACATTTTAAATATATGCATTAATTTTCTTTCATATACACGTTTTCAAATAAGACCAAAATAGATATGATTTTTTTTTTCCGAACAATAGAGGGTGTTATATAACTCAACAATAATAATATCCAGATACAAATGAAATAACTAACCGGAATCTATAATGAGAAGCTTATTCACGTGATGGCTTAGAACCTCAAAATGTGATAACATAACACTACAAACTACTCACAAGGTTACGAAGAGAGGGAGAAGAAGGTGTTCTGCCACTGCTGAGAAGCCTAGCAAGAATATCTTCTCCCAAAAGTACAAATCATAAATCACTGACTAACTAGAATTATATAGAAGACTTCTGATGAGCATAAGAGAAATCAATTCAATTTGATTGTGCAACCTTGATGACAATGTGAACTTGGGTGAGGGAGTGTGGAAATTTGATCAAAAGATATTGTTTCTCTTAAAATAATTTTATTAATATCAAATAATTACATTGATATCTATTATAATATATTAAAACATTGATTTTCCGTGATTCATGTTGATAATAAGTCAAGATAATTATTACAACATTATTTTAAGTTCTCACCATAATATTAATTCTTTTTGTCATAAATATTCAGTTTTTATCAAAAAATATTTATAGAATATTGTAATAGGTTATGTATACTTTTTTTTTCCAATTGATGAAATCAAATTGGTGAATTAATCTTTGCCGATATAATTTTTCTTAAGCTTTGTTTCTTTTAATATAAAAAATAAATTATTCTTCAAATTAATGTTATTTACCATTTAAGAGATAATGAACATTAAATAGTTTTACTAATGATAAAAAGTTAAAATTGAAATATAATAATTGTTTTGTTAGAATTTATTTCTATATTATTGGCAACCATATTTTTTATCATTTTTCTTTTATTTTGATTTTTTTCTATAATGAAATTCTTGTAAGACATATTTCATTACAAAGTACGCTAAATGAACTATAAATCCCTATAATTCAAATAGAAAAATCTTGACTATAGACTTTAATAGTGAAATAGATTTCACCTGGGCTCCTTTAACTCGAACGACCTCCGTGCCTGCAGAACCCAACGCCAGGAGGGGTCCCGGCGTCGGGCCTCCGATGCCAAAGTCAGTACCCAGATCAATAGAGAGAGATAGAGTGTGGTAATGAATGAGGAGAGAATGATATACCTTGGCCCCCTTTTATAGGGGGAGTGTACCTTTTGAACCCAAGTTGGGCTTGACCCATATGCTTATGCTATATGTCTTAGCCCATATGTGGACATATTCTCTAATATATTCCTTCTTATCCATAAAAGCCGGTCTAGTATAATATCCTACATCATCTAGTCCCCCTTACTCTAGACGACGAGTAAGCATAACTCGATCCAAGAGGTCGACCGGGAGACCACCAAATAATCACCAAACTTCCAAATGAGCACCGGGAGACCGCAATGAGGTCGAAAGCGAATAACCGTTGATGAGTTCGAAAACCGAAAGTCAAGAACCGAATGACAGTTGAGGTAAAAAACTGAAAGCCAAGAACCGAATGACAGCTGAGGTTTAAAACCAAAAACCAAGACCACTGAGCCAAAAATCCAAAACTGAGAGACCACTGAAATCGAAGATCGAGTGACCGCTGTGGTCGAAAACCAAAAGTCGAGAGACCACTGAGGTCGAAAACCAGGAATCGAGAGACCACTGAAGTCGAAAACTGGAAACTAAGATACCACTGAAGTCGAAGATCGAGAATCGAATGACCGCCGATGAGGTTGAAAGTCGAGAACTGAGAGACCACTAAGGTCGAAAATGAAGTAACCGCTGATGAAGTCGAAAACCGAGAACCAAGAGACCACTAAGGTCGAAAACCAAGTAACTGTCGATGAAGTCAAAAATCGAGAACCAAGAGACCACTGAAAACCAAGTAACCGTCGATGAAGTCAAAAATCGAGAATCAAGAGACCACTGAGGTCGAAAACCAAGTAACCGTCGATGAAGTCGAAAGATGAGAATCGATAGACCACTGAGGTCGAAAACTGAAAATCGAGAGATCACTGAGGTTGAACACCGAGTGACCGTCGATGAGGTCGAAAACCGAAAACCAAGAGACCACTCCCCGAAGTCTTGAATTTGAAAATTTGAACTCAAGTCTGATTTGTTTCAATCACCATGTTCGAGTTCTCTTAGACTACCTCGTCCTATCGCCACTCAGTTTAAAATTTAAAATTCAACCATGTTATCTATCCTCTCGAAAACCAAATGTCCTGACGCCACCATCATTTTCAAAGACTGAAGTCGACAAAATCAAAATCAAATAAAGATCATCGACCTGAATAACTTGACTCTGTGAGCTGCCCCAAGCTCGCTCGACCGCCACTGAGGTCGAAAAATAAATTCGACAAACCCAAAATTAGATAAAGATCATCGACATGTCATCGAGGTCTGCAAATAAACTCCCTGAATTTGCTCGAAATGAGCCTCCTCGACCTGCCACTGAAGACGAAAAATAAATTCGACAAACCCAAAATCAGATAAAGACCATCGACCTACTCGAGCTATCCATAATAAACTCCATCGACCTGCCACTGCTCGAGCTATCCATAATAAACTCCATTGACTTGCCACTTTGATCAAAAGCACAAATACAACAAAACTAACCAAATAAAACAATCAACCTGCTCGAGCTACCCATAATAAGCTTGGTCGACCTGCCACTGGGATCAAGAACACAAATACAACAAAACCAAAGCAAATAAAACCATCAACCTGCTCGAACTATCCATAACAAACTCTATCGACATGCCACTGGGACCAAAAAGCCCAAATACAACAAAACCAAACCAAATAAAATCATCAACATGCTCGAATTATCCTTAATAAACTTAATCAACCAACCACTGTGATCAAAAGCTCACATACAACAAAACCAAACCAAATAAAACCATTAACCTGCTCGATCTATCCATAATAAGCTTGATCGACCTGCCACTGAGATTAAGAACACAAAAACAATAAAACCAAACCAAATAAAACCATCAACATGCTCGAGCTATCCAAAATAAACTCAATCGACCTGCCAATGGATCCAAAAGCACAAATACAACAAAACCAGACCAGATAAAACCATCAACCTGCTTGAATATCCATAATAAACTTCATCGACCTGCCACTTAGATCAAAGCACAAATACAACAAAACCAGGCCAGATAAAACCATCAACCTGCTCGAGTTATCCATAATGAGCTTGATCGGCCTGCCACTGCTCGAGCTATCCGTAATGAACTTCATCGACCTGCCACCTGGATCAAAAACACAAATACAACAACACTAAACCAAATAAAACCATCAACCTGCTCGAGCTAACCATAATAAGCTTGGTCGACCTGCCACTGGGATCAAAAACACAAATACAACAAAACCAAACCAAATAAAACCATCAACCTGCTCGAACTATCTATAACAAACTCTATCGACCTGCCACTAAGACAAAAAAGCACAAATACAATAAAACCAAACCAAATAAAATCATCAACATGCTCGAGCTATTCTTAATAAACTCAATCGATCTGCCACTGTGATCAAAAGCACAAATACAACAAAACCAAACCAAATAAAATCATTAACCTGCTTGATCTATCCATAATAAGCTTGATCGACCTGTCACTGAGATCAAGAACACAAATACAACAAAACCAAACCAAATAAAACCATCAACCTGCTCGAACTATCCATAACAAACTCTATGGACCTGCCACTGGGACCAAAAAGCAAAAATACAACAAAACCAAACCAAATAAAATCATCAACATGCTCGAGCTATCCTAAATAAACTCAATCGACCTGCCATTGGGATCAAAAGTATAAATACAACAAAATCAAACCAAATAAAACCATTAACATGCTCGAGTTATCCATAATAAGCTTGATCGGCCTGCCACCAGGATCAAGAACACAAATACAACAAAATCAAACCAAATAAAACCATTAACCTGCTCGAGTTATCCATAATAAGCTTGATCGACCTACCACTGCTCGAGCTATCCGTAATGAACTTCATCGACCTGCCTCCGAGGTCTCCAATAGGCTTTGTGTCTTCACGACTCAACACTAGGATTGACCACTTGCCCACCCCTAACGCGGAATGTACCAAAAACAAGTGGATTTGGTCTTGACACTTGCCCACTCCTATTGCGGGGTGTTCTAAACAAGCGATTCTAAACAAGCGACCACTCGCCCACCCATATCGTGGGATGTTCCAAAAACGAGGGACTTTTCTCTTGACACTTGCCCACCCCAAGGGATGTTCCAGAAATATGGTGGTCGTCCAGCCTGGAGGCGTAGACTTTTTTGACCACCTGCCCACGCCAAGGAATGTACCGAAAGCAAGCGACCACTCGCCCATCCCTATTGCGGGATCAGGGATGCTCCGAAAATGAGGGACTTTTTTCTTGACACTTGCCCACCCCAAGGGATGTTCCAGAAACATGGTGGTCGTCTATTCCAGAGGCGTAGACTTTTTCGACCACCTGGCCACTCCAAGGAATGTACCGAAAGTAAGCGACCACTCGCCCACCCCTATCGCGGGATCAGGGATGTTCCGAAAACGAGGGGCCTTTTTCTTCACTCGAACGACCTGCCGTTAAGGTCAAAAGGAAAACACACCAAACACGATATAAGAGAATAATCGGTCATTTTCGTTAGTGTCATCAAATGCATAATTACGTCGAACGAGATAATAATAAAAAATATAAAATATATGTTTTGACCTCCCTTTCCTGGTTGTACATGAAGACATGCGTTTTCGTTTACTCCGTGCTTTCCACTCCTCAACGTGACCAATATCCAGTCCATCTACTCGTGTATTTCCCTCAGCAAGAATTCAAAAAATACCATTAGTCGTATTATATCCACATCCTCTAATTTGCAATTCTAATAATCATAATAACAAGAGATGAATAAATCAAAGCAATCAAATTGATCCACATGTTTTTATTCCACAACCCAATCTACAAACAAGCCTCTTTACCACGATATCAAATCCCATAAACCCCCAGTCAAAGGCAAAGTCGACCAAAATTCCACGAGACCATGAATTCAACAAACCGCTACAACAAACCATACTCTTCAGATACGAACAATCATTAAACCATTGCACCAAACGAAAATTCAAATGAATTGCTCCAATACCAAGCTCCACGCAAAAGACACAAGAGATCAAATACAAACATCACCATCTCCTCGAACAAATCAAATAATATACACGAATAAATCACATAATATCTGCTCGACCAAATCAAATAATATCCACGAATAAATCACATAATTCTCCACGAATAAACCAACTAATATCTCCTCGACCAAATCAAATAATATTCACGAATAAATCATATAATTCTCCACGAATAAACCAAATAATGTCTCATCGACCAAATCAAGTAATATCCACATAATTCTCCACGAATAAATCAAATAATATCTCCTCGACCAAATCAAATAATATCCACGAATAAATCACATAATTTTCTACTAATAAACCAAATAATTTTTCATCGACCAAATCAAGTAATATCCACGATCAAGTCAAATATCACCACGACCAATCGAATAATCTATCAATTTTCACCAATTTAAATCCTCAAGTCTCAAAATTTTCCAATTTGAAACAAATAATTTATCCGAATTTCGCCAATTCAAGTCCTCAAGTCCATAATTTAAATGAACGTCGTACCTTCATCACAATAATGCTACCTAAATTTACCTTCCCGACCGCGATGAGTCCCTCCAAATTAGTCTTGGACATGAAATCGGGTTGTTGGTCCAAGTTGGTAACACTTTTGGGTTGCTGGAGGAGGGTCAACAGTCAACTGGGCAGCACTTGGGCGATTTGAGCTGGTGATAAGCATGTTGGGCCGCAGGTAGAAGGCTGGGAGGGCGTGGGCCAAGAGGAGGGGGACGCGGGCTGAAGCTGGGCCGGATGCGGGCTGAAGCTGGGCCGGATGCGGGCTTCGCGCAGACCAAATATTGTGCAGTAGGCGGGTTTGAGCGCGGGCTTGCGCGGGCAAAATGCTGGGCGGTAGGCGGGCTGGAGCGCGGGCTTTCGCGGGCCATGGGTTGTGAGAGGAGTGGGCCGCGCGGGATGGAAGCGGCCCGCATGCTGGGATGCACCGGAGGATGGGCCATGCCTTGGGCCTCGCTCACTTCTTCTGGGTCGAGTGTAAGAATCATGCTGGGCTTCGGGTAAAAATTTCGTTGGGCCTCAGGAAATGCTCCCTTGGGCTGTGGACGGTGGGTTGCGCACCTAGACCTTCGCCACCGGGCCGTCTCCTTGCTGGGCAGAGCTGAGACGCGTGAACAGTAAACATAGGCGCTGCAACTTGCCTGAGATACACCGCCGGCAAAATGTCGCCGTATCCGGCGAAAGCGACCGACCATGGGTGCGACCCGACGAGGATAATTCAACAGCGCCGTCGGTTTGAAGTGAGTCGCCGTCAATCACCGGGAAAATAGAGGAGAAGACCGCTGGTTGACAAAAATATCTTAGATCCAAAAACTTTGACCAGCAAATTGATGACCTTCCCGGAAGCATTTTTGCTCGAAATTTTAAGGGTATAACAAGCACGAGGAGAGCTTCACGATAGTGTAATAATTCTTTAGATCGGAGGACTTTCGGTGGCGGACGGCGACGGTGATGGCTATTTCCGGCGAAAATTGGTAGCTGGAGATTTGTCTCGGCGAGAGGATTCTGGTGGTAGCCTCAGATTCTTCATAGCCCTCCGTGATCGTCAAAAAAATGCATTTAATGTCCGATTTTGACCAAACTTTTGCTAAATCTGGAAACTTTGACCACAAAATTTACGGCCTTCTCGAAGGAATTTTTGCATGAAATTTTAAGGGGAGATTCACCTCAAAGAGTTCTACCCAATAACGTAAACAATTTTTCGACCGGAGCACGTTTTTCTACGGCCAGCGGCGGAGGTGGCGGCCAGCGGTGGCGGCGCGTGGCGGTGGCCGGTGAAGGTGAAGGAGCTTGCTGGAAGATATTCGAATTTTTTCGGTAGGAACTCCGTTTGGCTTCTTGAATGGGTCCACAGACGACACCAATAATAGGGAAATAGACTTCACCCGAGCTTCTTCAACTCGAACGACCTCCGTACCTGCAGAACCCAACGCCGGGAGGGGTCCCGACGTCAAGCCTCCGATGCCTTAATCAGTACCCAGATCAATAGAGAGAGAGATAGAGTGTAGTAATAAATGAGGAGAGAATGAGATAACTTAGCCGTTTTTATAGGAGGAGTGTACCTTTTGAGCCCAAGTGGGGCTTGACCCATATCCTTATGCTATATGTCTTAGCCCATATATGAGTTTATTCTCTAATATATTCATTCTTATCCATAAAAGTTGGTCTAATATAATATCTTATATCAGACTTAAACCGACATAACATGTGAACATAACTGATTTAATATCTATGTCTCGTATATCACACGAGCTACACACTAATTTATGAGTATTATTTAGTATTACTTATCACGGGGATCCGTATTAATATTGCTTTCGTGTGCATAAGATAGGACGGCCCAATATTCTTAGACCATCAATTAGAGGATTGTCTAAATCATTATTTAAGGGTCGAACCAAGAAACAAGAAAAGCCGCCTCCCTCTCACTTGACACATTCGACCAACTCCTCCCCTCTCCCTTCGCCGGCGCCGGCGCTAATCACTACCTGAAAAACCGTACACAGGCTCGCTCAACATTCAAAGTAAGATTCTTCTTTGCATCTTTGGACTTCCTCAGTATCCTCATCTCGTTTTTCATCGCTCAATCTCGCCTCTAGTCGGTTTCTATTTTAGAGGAATTTTGATTATGTAAAATAATTATGTTCGTATTTAAGTTGGCTGATGATGAGAATGTATGGTTGTTATTAGAATGTCGATTTTGCAGCAGTGGTGTAGTTTGTTTATGTCCTCGCTGCGGTTTTAGTGTAATTGTCTGTGCTTTTTACTCAGCTACTCATATTTTTCTAACAGAAACATTTATTTTGATAAAGAAAATGCTAAATCCCCCCATGATGTTTATGGACTTCTCTGTTTCTGTATTACTTGATTCTTGCTAATAGATTTAGTTTTCAAGATTCGATATTCGATTCCTTTGCTCTTGTTCAATTCAGGTAAGTCCAGCCATGGAACTCGAAATAATGCCACCGAAAAAGCCCAATTTCGACCCACTGAAAGCCCATGAAATCACAGAAGGCAGGCAGGCCGAGTTCCGGAAGGTTCCGGTCCCAGCCCACCGCCTCAAACCTCTGAAGGCCGCCTGGGATATAATCTACAACTATGTCTACGAGGTGATGAATGTGGACATCCGCATGAATCTGAAGGCCCGTCGTGTGGAGCTCAAAAACAAGCCCGAAACTCCTGATATCGGCCACCTTCAGAGATGCTCGGATTTCGTTCATGCCTTCGTTCTCGGGTTTGAGTTACGGGACGCGAAGCTTATGCTGAAGCACGATGAGCTGTACATTGACTCTTTTGAGATTAGGGATGTGAAGAGACTGCGTGGTGAGCACTTGTCCCGTGCGGTGGGCAGGCTGTCGGGAAAATCGGGTAAGACAAAGTTTGCAATCGAGAACGCCACTAAGACCCGGATTGTGATTGCTGATACGCGGATTCATGTGATGGGACCTTTTGCCCGTATTAAGATCGCGAGGAGTTGTCTTTGTAGTCTGATCATGGGCTCGCCTGCAGCTAGGGTTTACTCCAAGCTGCGTCTTGTTGCCTCCAGGCTTGACAGCATGGCCTAAGGTAGTGGTAATTATTATTATTATTATTATTATTATTATTATTATTATTATTATTATTATTATTATTATTATTATTATTATTATTATTATTATTATTGATTATTGATGATTGATAGCTTATTCCAGTAGCACTTTGTGTGTGATATTACCCGTTTTGCCTCCGGGTTTGACAAGTTCTGTTCTTCAATTTGTTAAGCATTTGACCCATAGTTGTGTTGTTTCGATTTTCTTGTTGGTTTGTTCATGAGAAATTGCAAAATAGGCTCTAGTCTTAAAATCTTAAATGATGTTAAAGATAGATGATCGTGCATATCCCAGACAATTTTGTGAGCTTAAGAGAGCAGGGTGATGATTGATTTTCCATTATTCATTAGGCCGATATACTGTTTTCATGCATAGTTTCATTAGAAAATGTGCTACTTCAAAGTTGTAGAGTTACAATGAACGTATTTACAATTACTGGTGCATCATATGCAGACTAGCTAGAACTGTCAATTTTGAAGTTGAGGGTAAGATTGTTTGTAGGTTATCTTACAATTCACGAGTTAAGTTGGAAGGGGCAAGGACACTTGTAGAGGGCTCAAGTTAGAATCGGTCATTGAGAAATCGAGAGTGAGATCAAGGTCACGGTTGTATACAATTATTTAGAGCGTGTTTCGATTTGAGCATGTCTGCAGATTTAATGAAAACCGTTGATTATTTATGTTCGATAATCCGTCACGTCCATCTAACTCCACTCGATTCAAGTATTCGTGGAAATCGTGTTATTCTTTTGTGTTATGTGGAAGTTATAGTAAGTTTGAGCTTCATGAGCTGCTTTTGGGGCGATGAGAATCTCTTACACGTTTTGATTTATTCTCACAGATTTATGAATTTCTTATGTGTGAACAAGCTTAATGTGGTATAAACAACTAATCAAAATGCTCTTGTACGCCTCATGATTTTTCTGTTCCTGTTAAATATAATTTCTTAGCACTAACATTTCTATTGTTGTGTATTTGATGCTGTGGATTAATGTGGAACAGGCTTGAAGCCATTTTATTGTACTACAATTCACTTAGATCATCTCCAAACTGAAATACTCATTTTCGAACTCATATTATGGTATTATCATTTCAAACTAGTTTGCATTTTGTGCTATGCAAGGGCAGGCTTGTCCTTAAAACTTTTTTTTTTTTTTTAAA